TCTTGCACTTTCCTATTATAATCGTGCTTCATTTAGACCGGGTCTCACCTTACAAACAGCTCACAGGAGGTGTTCAGTTTTTGAACGAAATTCCAAAGTCACCAGCCGGAAAAATTCTACGACGATTGCTTCGTGAACAATACGGTCTCTCTCCGTGATCTCATATATGCATACCTCCTTAATGAATTATCAATATTTTGTGTTACATAATTTTGGGACTTCTTAACACTTTGGCCATACTTTCCCCGTATTGCGCGTGTTATCCGTGTTACCGTTGTTACCAGTGTTACTGGTGTTACTCGTGTTGGTCGTGTTGCCCGTGTTACCTGTGTTACTAGTTGTTACTCGTTTACTCACCAGTCAATGAGGTTGCGTTTTAGAATGAGACTGCATTTGCGATCATATCACTACTCAACAGCAATAAAAGCGGTAACACCAGTAACACTAGAAACACGAGTAGCACGAGCAGCGGTAACACGGGTAACATTTGTAACGCGGATAACACGAGTAAACGAGTAACACGGGTAAAGTATGGCCAAAGCCTAAAGCTACAAGTGCTCCACACTCAACATGTTTTTGCTTCGAGGAAATTGATGTTGCGGACAAGACTCCATTATACCATCAGGTTATCCGGAAATTGATGCGGGTTGCCTGGCCGTTAGTAATCTACCTTCTCTGGTGCATCATAGATGCCGGATAGATCCATATGAAATTTTGATGACGCAGACCGCTGCAAAAGCTTGTAGAGTTTGAGGATACCTTGCATAACTGTAAAAATGAGAGTGATAAAGAAAGTGGTGTGGAATTTGAAGAAGTATTTCTGCTCTTATTGGAATGATCTGTAAAGAGCTGTAAAAACGATAAGGGCGATGAATATCTTTATTCTAAGCATAATGCCTCTCATGGTCATAACATTCGACACCGAAAGCCGTGCAGACCTTGCATCTCTTCAAAATAAATAAACTTTTGTGGGCGCATAATGAACTCCACAAAAAACACCTAGAAAACCGACTTACATCAAAAGATAAACAATAAATAGTATATATATAGGTATATATCAGTGGCGTACCCAGGATTTCGGTTCGAGGGGGGGGGGGGGGCGTGACAAAAAATTTTTTCCGATGAAGGCGCGTGGCGTCAGCCACGCGCTCCGAAATTTTTTTTGGTATGCTTCCTAAAATTTTCGCGGGCTCAGAACCCCGAAATTTCGGAAAAAGGGGGCGTGGCTGACGCCACCCCCTGAAAAATTTTTTTTATAAGGCTAAAACGAATTTTTAAAAAATTTTAAAAAATATTCTAATTATTTACAAGTGCAGACAAGTCATTTGCACAATTTTATAACCCATGTAAGTAACTTTCAAAATTTTCGCGACCCGTTCTCGGGGGGGGGGGAGGCGCCCCCCCCTCTCGGTACGCCACTGGTATATATACATATGTATATACAGTGACCGCCAAAAAGTTGCGGACAAGTCGCCTTCATTTTTTTATTGCTGATTTTTAGATGGATAACAAAGATGAAAAAATGTTTGGATTGCATGTGGTGGTAGAGCTCTTCAAGAGCTACAACCTACATGCGCTTTATCAAAAACATGTACAGTGACCGCCAAAAAGTTGCGGACAAGCCTCCCTCCCTTTTTCATCGCTCTTTCTCAGAGGGAAAACAAGGACGAAAAATGTAATAATTGCATGAGGTGATAGAGCTCTTCAAGATCTACAATCTACACTTTGAGCTTTTTGAGAAACATGTATTTTAAAAATTTTAAGAATCTTTTTCTAAAAAAAGTCCAAAAATGGCCGCGTCACAATGTCGCGGACAATAATTCTTCGAACGCAAAAATTTTCTTTCAAGTCTTATTTTGAAGCGAAAACACAGGTTATCCGAACGGGTAAGCATACTGCTATACAGAGCTCGTCAAGAACTACACACTGGTTACGTTCGAAGAATTATTGTCCGCGACATTGTGACGCGGCCATTTTTGGACTTTTTTTAGAAAAAGATTCTTAAAATTTTTAAAATACATGTTTCTCAAAAAGCTCAAAGTGTAGATTGTAGATCTTAAAGAGCTCTAACACCATATGCAATTATTACATTTTTCATCCTTGTTTTCTCTCTGAGAAAGAGCGATGAAAAAGGGAGGGAGGCTTGTCCGCAACTTTTTGACGGTCACTGTATCCTAAAAATTGTAAAAATCTTTTTACAAAGAAGGTCCAAAAATGGCCGCGTCACAATGCCGCGGACAATAATTCTTCGAACGCGAAAAATTTTCTTTTAGGTCTTTTTTTGCAGCAAAAACAAAAGCTCTCCGGACAGATAAGCATACTATATTGTAGAACTCATCGAGGACAATAATCGAGTAGTGGTTACTTCCAAAAAAACCCGAGCTTGAATTTTATTTTGCTTCTTCCCAAAAAATAATTTCTAATTCCCTGCAAGCCAAATTTCTTCACAAGGAAACCTATTCAAGACATTCCAACAAAGCTGTTCGGATAAAATGGATGACCTTTGCCATCTTCTATGCATCGGACGTGTGCTGGTGAGTCTCTTTGCTGAAAATAGCTTTTGACAGTGCGTGCACACGACCCCACCTGCACCTCACCACTGACTTGCACCGCTTTGCAGGCTTGTAGCTCGGCCAGCAGTCACTATACGAGCATGCAAGTAGGCTCATTCAAAAGCGCTTGACTTTATGGACACGACGGTATGCAAAAGAGTTGGGTAGGAGAAACAGCGGAGAAATGGCGGATGGGGTGAAAAAGCCCAGCTTCAGTGGTAGGCTAAGGATTTCCAGCTAATGTTGAATAGAGCTTCTTTCGCTACAAGTTTTGTCCTGGAAGTTGAAAACTGTCAATGTTCTTGTAATAGATCCGTTTCGAAGCTTTAGGAATGTTCTGGTGTTGATAAGAGCCTCCACTCCAATCACCTCTACTTGTAGCGAAAGGAGCTCTATTCAACATTAGCTGGAAATCCTTAGCCTACCACTGAAGCTGGGCTTTTTCATCCCATCCGCCATTTCTCCGCTGTTTCTCCTACCCAACTCTTTTGCATACCATCGTATCCAGGAATCCAAGCGCTTTCGAATGAGCCTACTCGCAGGCTCGTAGATTGACTGCTGCCGAGCTACAAGCCTGCAAAGCGGTGCAAGTCAGTGGTGAGGTGCAGGTGGGGTCGTGTGCACGCACTGTCAAAAGCTATTTTCAGCAAAGAAAGTCACCAGCACACGTCCGATGCATAGAAGATGGCAAAGGTTCATCCATTTTATCCGAACAGCTTTGTTGGAATGTCTTGAATAGGTTTCCTTGTGAAGAAATTTGGCTTGAAGCAGGGAATTAGAAGTTATTTTTTGGGAAGAAGCAAAATAAAATTCAAGCTCGGGTTTTTTTGGAAGTAACCACTACTCGATTATTGTCCTCGATGAGTTCTACAATATAGTATGCTTATCTGTCCGGAGAACTTTTGTTCTTGCTGCAAAAAAAGACCTAAAAGAAAATTTTTCGCGTTCGAAGAATTATTGTCCGCGGCATTGTGACGCGGTCATTTTTGGACCTTTTTTATAAAAAGATTTTTACAATTTTTAGGATACATGTTTTTGATAAAGCGCAATGTGTAGGTTGTAGCTCTTGAAGAGCTCTACCACCGCATGCAATCCAAACATATTTTCATCTTTGTTATCCATCTAAAAATGAGCAATAAAAGAATGAAGGCGACTTGTCCGCAACTTTTTGGCGGTCACTGTATATACTATTTGAAATAAGCTTTGAATGCTGATTCCAAATATGACTTCCTTAGCTGCGGCGCGTGATTCCGAAAACGAGTCGTGAACTTTCTTCTGCAGGAAACTGGCATACTATCTAACGCGGAAAGCTGCTTGTAGATGATCGGCCTTGAAACGTTGTTGGGGTACTAAAATATTATCAAGTTGAGTTTTTTCTCATTGACACAAAACTTAACGCAGTAGGATCGGTTTTTACTAACTGGGAGAAGCAAGAAATAAGTTCAAATTTATTTTAATACTATCGGACTTCAACTAGTTATCCTTCTTTATACTTTCTGATGTACTGACAAAAATCTCGCAATCTGGAAACCTTGCTTTTGCAGAGAACTGACCCAGTCTGGCTTAGGCTTGGGCTTAGGGAACGCGCGCCTTTCGACATACACTCACCATAATGCCAGTAGGTCAAAGATTATGCCTACTTTGCACAGAAGAAAATCAATAACTTGTTCCAGAACAATGTGCCGCAGCTAGGAACTGCATATTTGGAATCAGGGCCGAAGCTGACCCCAATATATGTGTCTCATTTTAAAATGCGAATCAGTCACCTGACTTCCCTTGTAAGCATATACAGGGTGTCCCAAAAGTAAGTACACACTTTTCAATCGTTAATATCTCTCTTTCTATTGTGTGTTTTTCCGCCATTTGAGTACCATTCTTTGGAGGAGGCTTCAACTTAGATTTTTACAATCAAGCGAATCACCGATCGCTCTTCATTACTGTAGGATTACTGTAGAAACTTTGGCAAGAATTTTAGGCAACTGGAAGCCATATTCTGCCTCGGAACAAAACCAAACAAGTCAAAAACTCTTATACTATGATAAAGGATGCCGTCAATGTCGATTATGAATTTTCCACTTCACTGTGATGCTTCTTTCTAAAGTTATCCCAGGTAGACCGTAATAACCGAATTCCCAGGATTTGTCAGAAATGTGATTACACCGTCAGAAAAGCTGTAAACACTCGTAAAAAGTTGTGTAGTGGAATTGGCGTGCGCGAAAACCCCAGTACACGATTTTTCAGATTTTTTGCAAAAAATTTTGTCACGTGACATATTTCACCATGTTTCCACATGCTAGAAGTTCTTACCGTAATCCTACAGTAACGAAAAGCGATCGGTGTCCGACCGATACTGTAAATCTAAGTTGAAGCCTCCACTACAGAAGGATACTTGAATGACAGAAGAAGACGCATTGGGAAAAGAGATATTGACGATTAAAAAGTGTGTACTTACTTTTGGGACACCCTGTATAATTCAAATTGTAAACAGAAAGTTTTAGGACATTACGCCATTTTGAACCATTTACAGCAACAATACTAGTCGATTTTTTGAGAGGACGTATCGAAAAAGCTAACAAGAAGCAAAGGGGGTGAAAGCATAGCCTAAACGGCAAAGAAAGAGGAAATTGAACTGCTCAAAAACATCAAATATGCACTCCCTAAAGATAAGATGTCTTTCGCATGGGCTATTCAAGACTGCAAACAGAGTAAAGAGCTGACATTCAGTGGACTTCTTTTACGGCCCCCTTCCCCCGCCCCTGGGCCTGTAGTAAACCCCCCCCCTGCCCGGCAAATGCCTTTTTGCTGCCGCCCCATGATAAGGGATAGGCGGCGTGACCGAGGACGCTATGTATCAATCTCAGGATCGTGCGCTGGTTCAAGATCTGGCAATTACACTATCTTGAACCAGCACACGATCTGCCGAGGCGCACGCGATGTATGAATGAGTGCGCAAGATCTCGAATTTTTTCAAGATCAAGATCTCGAATTTTTTCGTTTTTTCTTCTGTCGCCCATAATCGATGAATGCAATGACATCTACGGTCACTATATGCTTACAATGATCGATTATGGACGGCACAAGAAAAAAGCTTTTGTTAGCCATTGGAGTAAAGCTAGGATGGATCTCTTTTTGAAAGAAATGTATGGGCCAATTGTATCGTAATTTTTTCAAAGTTCCTCTCTTCCTTACTGTAGTGATTTGTTTTGTAAATTTCACGTCGTAATTTTGACTGTGCTAAATATTACGACTTACATAAATGTGTAGTGCTATAGTCTTGATTACCAATTTTTTTTGCGCGTAATGATCTAGCTCATTCTCGGTTTTCCGAGGATTAGTAAAACTCCAAACTCTTGCTTTTCAGGTGGTGCTTTTATCTGGAACCAGTAAAAGTTTGCTCCATGTGCTTTATCCTCGAGCGGTCCACTTTTGTTCAGTCATCGAACTCATCAACTTTGTGAAGTTTCTGCAAAAAGGGGACTATCAGCAAGTGAGTGCAATGATATACATGTACATTTGAAGTTTGCTATTTACATTTTTTTGCCGTATTTGAAATTTGCACGCATTTTGAAGGCTCAAGTACTCACTTGCTGTTTTCCGCCTGTAAGGCCGCGGACAGAGTTCACGTCCTCGTCGCGCTTGATCGCGACGAGACAACTATAATAATATTGCAATAGTTTTCCAGCACGACTAATCGTGGCTAACTACCACAACCGAGATACAAGAAGATCCGCATGCAATGAACTCGTAACACTTGTCTTCTAGCGATTAATCGCGACGATGAAATCGTGTGAACTCTGTCCGAGGCCTTACTGTGAGCGAAGTCGCTTTTGGGTTACGGTTACGGCGCAGTCGCGAGGTTCATGGGGACGGATTTCTTACTTGGAATGAACCATTTGCGCTGCCGCTTGGGCAGTGCGTTAGTTAGGACCTCCTCATTCATTTCCATGCGAAAAACCCACGTGTGTGTGCTAGGGGTATGGTGTCGTTAGGAGTGCCGGTAGTCCTGTCCCCAGTACAAATTAAGGAGAAATTGTAATCTTATTTATTTTCTCCTAATATCTATCTAGTTGAGAATATGTGTTTACAGCTGACACTCGGCGGAAGAACTGGGTCATCATACCGACTACGTCAGTTCGTGATGCGTATCCACCTAAAAATTCTCAGATGGAAAGGAACCAAGCCCCATTCTTCGCAAAGCGGACACCTCAACGCTATCGCCGATTTCAGTCCTACCACCTCCAGCGCCTGCTCCAATCATCGCCAAGCTAGCACCACCGCCCAGGCCTCCACCCGCAACGCGTCCCTTACCTCCAAACCGCTTGATTACAGCTCCTCGCCCAGTGCCACCTCATCGACTCATAAAGACGTTACCACTTTCCACGGTGCTACCACCGAGAGTCCAGAAGGTAAATCCAGAATCGAGTAGCTCAAGTAGTACACCAGAGCCGCCTAAAGAGCAAGAGCATATTATGAATGCTTCTTCGTCATCCTCAACTACATCATCCTCGGAGAAATCAGCTTCGTCGTCAGAAAAAATATTTTCGACCATATCTTCGACATCTTCAACCGCGCTCAGCATCTTGGCAACAGTGTCAGAAGCAGCAAGAGATGGTGCCGTTCAGGATGTGCTGTAAAATCGTCTACTCCGCCCAGTCAAGCACCAGTTGAACAGAGCAAGGGTAGCAAGGGTAACGATGAAGAAGACGACGACTATGAAGAGGAATTGTAGAAATCTTTTTCCTCATTTGTGTATATCTCCAAGAGTAATCAAATAAAATATGTTCATGGATATGTGAGAAAGGTTATCTTGTAACTTGCACATCAAATCACTGTTCCGCAATTCTGAAATACACAAGCCTTCAGTGCTAAAAATGACGCATGGACTTTTCTCGTAATTAGATCGGAAACTGCGAACAAATATCTCAGACTATCAAGATACATCAACAGCATTATTGTTGAATATCAGTAACAACCTATAAGGGGTAGATGGATTGAATAAACTAGTAATAACAAGTGTCTTTCACATTGCTTCATCACATACGCAAAGTTAAAACCTGGAGTATGGAATGGAAGACCGTTTCAGGAGGGAATACGCCATTCGGGGTAACTGCAAAGTGACACTACATGGTCGACAAGACAAGTTTCCAACTTTAGTCGACTCAGATGTACTGGTCGAGTTAGGTGTCTCCGACATCGAGGAAAGCACCCACAGCACCGAGGTATCCTTCGTGCTTCATGAATAGTGCTTCCAGGTTGCCCTGAAAATGCTATATTTTTTACGAATTGATGAATTTTCCAAAACTAAACTTGCTTCAGTAGTTAATGGCATGCGATAACGTCCGCATGGTGATGGGGTGTTTTCGGATAAAGAAGCCTCCGAAGTATATCCTCTTCATAGCAAATCTCATGCCATGAACCATAGCCATCTGTAAACAGGCGACATAGTATTCGATAAGGGCAAACAAAAAGCAATGAAAGAGAGCAGTGAAAATTTTCCAAAAAGAAGAAAAAAAGAAATTTTGGATATTGTTTCGTCATAAAAATAGTTGTAACGTACGACTGATTCAGCAGTACCTGTCCAATATTATTACTGATCATCAACAATAATGATCTGACATATCTTGTTCAGATGTTCGTTCTTGGTCTCCTCGAGCTAACCGATTGCCTGTTTAAGCAAGGCGTTGCGCGACTAGTAAGCTGATATCATTTGGCGTCATGTAGGACGAAAATCTAAGTGGTGTCTGCGCTCGAAACAACAGTAGTTTTGGAGAGATGATAAGAATCCTTGCAGAATGAAAGCAAGATGAAAAGGCCTTGAAGGCAGTGGTCAAGCAAAAAGTCGATTTTGAGATTATGTGCTTACTTGGGCCTATTCGCTGTGCTGAATCCGAAAATTAACACTGGAGAGCGCGAAAACAGCGAAAAAAGGCATTAACGGAGGAGGGATTGCAGATGGGCGGGGCTGTTCACATAGTGGCGTCACTTTCCCAGCTTCAGGAGCGACCTTCTCGCTTCCGCTAACCGCACTAACATCACCACCACCCAACTGCGAACGCATGACATAAAATCGGAACCGAGAAGATCGCTCCTAAAGCCTGGGAGAGTGACGTCGCGGTGTGAACGGCTCCGCCTACCTGCGATTTTCCTCCTACGTTAGGGCCCTTTTTTGGCGTTTTCGCGCTTCCATTGTAGTTTATCGGATTCACCATGGCGAATAGGCCCGGGTAAGCACAAAATCTCAAAACCGACTTTTTGCTTGGACACTGCCTTTAACAGTGGAAAATTTTTGTCGTAGCGACAGGCCGACACTCGATTTCCCTATAACATGACACCAAATGACAGCAACTGCCCCGCGTCCTGCTAAAGCAGGACGATCGTTTAGTCTGGCGCCTACCCGAGTAAACATGAAAAAGAAGATGAAAATAAGAAAATGGGATATTTTGACAAAACAGATGGCGCGCAGGATTTACGCACGACTTTTCACAATTAAAGAAATGAACATGAGGCAAATTCACACCACAACATGAATAAAAGAAAGCAAGAAACCAAAGGCTTAGAATTTTTGTTGCAACTGACCTCAATAGGCTGCTAGTTTCCCAGTCAACACAACTGTTTTGATGAACCGAATACGTGACGGGTCGACCTTTCTCTTGTGCGCGGACGGAATATACCCAACCAGTGCGTCACCTCTGTTGTTTGTTGATACTGTTGCATATTCTGTAAATAACTGTTGGCAATATATTGTTTTTGCGAGTAATGTTGCTGTTGATAATAAACCTCACTTCGAAAGCGTCTAACAATCTCAAAAAAATTGATAACAATCCCGTTCATCCAAACACAGAATTGAGGATCCAGAGTTGTGAGCATTCATCGATTTCCATCGAACAATGCAGCGGAGCTGGCACGGAGCTGACACGAAGCTGGCACGGGCTGGCACGGAGCTATTACTGCTCCAAATCGAAATTTGCGAGCAAGAAGCCGCTGATTTTGACGAAATAGTCGAAGCGGATGAAGCCAACTATATCGGATGTTGGCGCTTCTCGTTGCATCTACAGGAACAAACGCAAACATGACTCTGCAAGATAAAGAATATAGACCTTTTTGATGGAATATGCAAAAACAATAATACAAACAAGGTAGACAGGAAACAAGCGCAGTGCGAAGATTGCCTTAATTTTTTCATTGATTGTTCCATATCTTCATGGCTGAGCTTCTTCCGCATTCTTGTCTTGTGCATTCCGGCAACGAAAACGTTAACAGTAGCGCAGTGGCTGTGCGCGCCGCTCACTGCGGTCATTGCGAGTTCGGCGAAGGGTGATCGCGGAGTTTTTTGCGGCGGGCGGCCAGCATCCGTCGTGCCCAAGTTTTGACGCCTTTTGGGCGGTCATGACCGCGTCTTCTTTGAGTTGTGACGATTTTGGGGTTATTACTACTGGCCCAGGGATTTCCACGCTTTTGCGCTAACCTACAATAACGAATGTCAGATCACCTCAAAGAATGCCAATAGACCTTACCCAGAAATCGTTCTTTAGAGGAAGAGAAATGTATCAGGGTGCTGCTCAAGTTCTGTCTGTTTGCCTTTTTAACTTAAAATACCGTGACGTCTTTCAAAATCAACTTTTGATTTTTCTGGATGTAGTAAGCTTTAAATGGATAATATGTTTGTCGAAAAACTACTTAGAACAATCAGTAACACAAAATCGTGCCTTGTTTTCTTTCAACCTGTCCTTCTTTGACACGGTGCTGCTCCCCTATAAAAATTGGCAGGCATATTTGTAGCCATTAGCAGATAGCGAAAATTTTGAAGATCATTTCGTGAACAAAAAGAGTCCTTAGAGTTTAAAACGTAGAGATTGTTTTAAGCAAATGAAAAAGGCTGAAGTTTCTTTTGTGCACGTGTTTATGGCCTTCTTCAAATTTTCAAACTTCTAAAATGCCGCGAGCATTGAGGAGTTGCTGGTGTATGGGCTCTTAGCTCTTGCTACTCTTTCACCACCAAATTTCAATTCATCGTCTGCCTTCATTCACAGAATGTTATTGACTGTAGAAAGTCCATGTGAAGCTCAAAAATTTGACAAGATATTCTACAAGCAAGACGATTTTGAACCAAAGTAAACTAGTGCATATGCAAGCCCATTACATCCTTACTCGGGGACCACCAAAAGGATCTAATTTGGCGGAAGCATTGTTGAGATTTTCTTACAAGAATATTTTTGCGTTAAAGGCCGTATTTTGGTTATTTGCGCTCTTGGGCCTGCAATCTTGTTAGTTTGAAGATTTTCATGAAATTTGATAAGTGCCAAAAAGAGCAAAAAGGCACTTTTTGAAGATACATACATTTCCGTTTGAACGCGAGAATTTCCTAGGGCAGAAACACAAAGCAAAAAATAGGACAGAACTTATGCAGCAGCCTAGTACTTAGAAATTGGGAAACAGTGCTAGTATGCAAAAAACTCTCAAAATAATTCTCTGTGGATTGGTTAGGTAGGAAATTTCTAAAGACTTGGCTGTGCTGTATCGTTGTTGCGAAAAGATGGGTGGAAAGGATTTACATAAGCGAAGGAGGACATCAATAGTCTGATACTGACAATTAAGGTGTAACTTGCCTAGACGCGTCGAATTATAAACAGGAAATGGAATAAGATAACGAGTAGGAAAGATTCAGGATTACGGGACAATTCACTTTAGTCGATATAATTGATTGTTTTATAATAATTTTCTAGCGACAGGCAAGAAATTCTTCTGTGATTTATGAATGTTTGGCAAAACTCATACATGTTCGAGTGACTGTACTGGAAGAGATTCATCATGGCTCTGGAAATAAGACTTTAGGCTAGTTTATAGTCTTGGATTCTATCTCCTAAGCGACATCTCTCTTTTTGCAGGGAAAAATGCTATTCATGAAAGTGAAGAGTGTTTACGATTGAGAACTCATTTTCCACTTTTCGCACAAATTTTCCTGCGACCAAAACCATTCTAGCGACTTCCAGAACGATGTCAAGAACGTGCATGAGCAAGATAATTTGAAATTTCAAAACTCAAGCCAGGGAAAAACTGAGAGGCTGCAAGGGACAGGTTGTGTTGGGATTTTAGGTTTAAAATTTCGTAACTCACTGGAGGCGCAACGAAACAGCCCGAAGTTCTCAAGATAGGAAGTAGGAGGATGGCTTCGTGAAAGAGCAGAATTGCAGCAAACAAACTCCCATAGTTCCGAAAGATTTAGGTGTGACCCAAATACGACCCCCTTTTCTCATTTTTATTGCCAACCATAAAATTATACGAAAATCTACAGGTTACGAAATAAGACCATTTGCACAAATATAGCAGAGCTTTTTCGAAGTACTGCCAAATTGTATGGGCCCGTAAAAAACGTTGCAAAAAGATTTATAAGCTATTAGAGGTCCTTGTTGGTAGAGATAAGTGCTTTTGTCGAGTGTGTGACTTCACGAGGCTTCGGAAGCAGTAGGCATATTGGTACATTCAAAATCTTTGCCCCATATACATGCCTTCAATAGTGCTTGAGCTTCTAACAAGGGAATGGTCAGAAGTCGAAGAGTCCAAACCAAACAAGCTGTATACCATTCTATGCAGTATAAAACGCTGACTTCGAATCTGTCTTTCTATCTGCTTCCCGCTTCTGTGGACGAATCTACACGCCATTAAAACCATTATTTTGCTAAGAAATTACGCATGAAATTGAAAATTTAGCCGTGCAGAGCCACGCTCGCC